TTCTTTCTTTCTTTCTTTCTTTCTTTCTTTCTTTCTTTCTTTCTTTCATCTTTCTTTCTCTCCCCCCCTCTCTCTGTGTGAAAAAGTATTTTAATTGCCATTCATCTTAAGCAAATATCATAAAACTAAATATGATAGAATATTACAACCAAGTGCAGCCCATACGCAAAAGAATATAGGAATTTAACTGTAGTAAAGCTCCAATTGGGAATTTACTAAAACAATGACAATAGCAGCTGGGCTGTACCTGCCCAAGAACAGTTAGCTGTTGAAATTGCTAGACCTAATTAAACTTAAAAGAAAATACCTGGGCTTTTATTATCTTCATGGCTGCCTAACCACATTACATTAGTCAGCATCACTCATCATTTCAGTGACATAAGGAAGATTTGGACAGTGGCTATGTGCAATGGTTGTATATGACAAAGACTTAGCAGAATCAATTCAAAGACTCTGAGGTTTCAATATGCCATAGTATTATTGAGCATTCATACAGCAGGTTACTGATACATCTCACCTAAAAATTCAAAAAATCCCAGTGAGGGGTTGCCCAAGCAATCTAATTATTATACTAGCAATATATCCTGGAACTTCTGAACTCAATAGGCCACATAAAGCTTTATGGATAGCTGGTTTGTACTAGCAGAAGTACAATTATTTCACAGAAATAGACATGTGGTACTTCCACAAATCAATCACAGTGGAAATGAAACAATTTTTTCTAATCTCTACACATGAAATCAAAATGCATTTTCAGCTATATGAAAGCCTTGATGGCCATGGCATCAATTTGCAATGGCTATTCTCTATCCTAAGCTTATGTGAAGAGACACCAGCCAAAGACACTTTATCACTTAAGACAAAGGCAAAATTGTGCCTCCCTCAGTTTCCTCTAGCAAAATTATAGCAGTTGACCGTTTTTTTAGAGCTTGCATTAGGGCAGCATTGTCTACTACATCTGAAGAATACAAAGTAGACGACACGGCACAAGCAAAGATGCTTGACATTGCCTTGCCATCTCTGTCTCCTAGCATCTGTTGTCTGGAGTAGCCATCTTACTTTGATTAATATTAGGGACAGCCTTCCACTCAGGATAATTGTGTTTCAGCATAGATGCATTCTACACCTCATATGTTTTCCAATACAAAGGAAGCCACAACATTACCCACATCAAGCAGGTTTACATGATGATTAGGCAGCCCTATAAACTGGTTTCTATTGTTTCAGTAGAAGTCACATTTCTATTTTTATCGAATCATGTTGATTTTCTTACTTTTTTCTAGATTGGATTGAAAAGCTTAGAAATAGGGAACTGCAGGTTTTTGATCCTCTCTCATTGCCACCCAGCCATTTTTGCTGAATTGCTGCCTTTGTCAGAGACAGTGCTTTTCCTCTCTTTTTTTTAATCTTCAAATCCTATTCCATCTCTTCCAGAAATTGTTTCTGCTTTTATTGCTATTTTTGCCATTACTTTAAGAAAAGCAGTTAGGGGGAAAAAAAAAACCTTTGATACAAAGAGCAATCTAATAGGACAAAACTATCCAGCGGTGCTGCTAGTGAACCTGCTGGTCTATTGGGCACAGGCATAGATATAGCATATAGAAAAAAAATGCAAACAATAGTCTTGATGAAATATAAAGGCCCTTCCCACAAGGGAAAACCAGTATAATTTAAAAATATCACAACGAAAGCGTATTATTCTACTCTATTCAAAACATTACCTACCATTACAGGTTATGGTGTTTTGCATAATAGTCAAAAAATTTAATGGTGAATAATCATAGTATGGTCAACTGTGAAGGAGAAGGTCAAAGATATGAAAGCATAATTATAACATCTTTTTTTTTTTTTTTTTTTTGCTGGAAACAAGTATGACAGTATCAATCAAATACTCCATATCGTTGACTAGGTACTGTTTCAAAACATTGAATATGGGAATTGATTTCTTCCTAGATGTTCTTTTTCACACTGTGTATTTATTATTGTTGGCTTTCACGGATGCTCAGTTGAACCCAAGTTCAGTTGGTAAAATTCCATCAACATAAGGCAAAATTAAATGATCTCTTCTCCCCTGTAGGTCCTTATTCTTCTGGAAATCAGGCTTTTGGCATACCTTCTAGTAGTAGAAAACAAATGTAAACTGTCTCTTCCTGTTCCTATCAGCGATATGTTTAATCCCAACACTCAACATGACAGTCAATAGATTCTAATGATCTGAGCATGGAATATGTCTTATTTTCAGCTCTTATTCATTGGGTAGATAATTTTATTGAACAATTCACTATAGTTTAGTATCTTTCTGATAGTGAGCTGTAAAAAGGCTCAACCCAATACATAGGCTTTTTGTTTCAGTGTATCAATTTACACTTACCTAAATTTCATTGACCATCCACTCAATGCCCTTTTGTAGGCCATCCACTCAATTAATGAGATCCTTCTGAGACCTTCACAATCAATTTTTGTTTTAAGCATCCTGAACAGTTTAGTATCACCCATAGACCTGGCTGGTACACTATTTATCCACATGTTCAGATAATTTATGAACAAGTTAAAAAACACCCATCTCAACACAGATCCCCAAGACACTAATGCAGATTCTTAATACTTCAAAAGCTCTTCATGTTTTATTACCTGTCAAAAATAAATTAAATATTTTCATATTTTGGCTAAAAGTCACATAGAATCATTTGTGTAATCACATCAAAACATATCAATTTTTGGGTGCACAGTAATGTCAAATTAACAGTGCAGTCATATACATGGTTACAAAGAAATAAATACCATTAAATTCAGTGGGGTTTATCCCAAGTAAACATGTATAGGATTGCTATCTAATACCATAAAATCACAAACAAATACAGAAAAACACTTTTAAAAACATAGACATTATCACAAATCAGTAGAACAAGGTAAACCTTTTAGGAACAATGATTGATTAGATGCAAAGCTCAAATAAACTTAAAGTGGTCCTTAAATCAGATCCCCATTGATTAAAAAGAGATCTTGCAGATAAAGAAACCAGCTTCCATCAAATAGAAAAACTGGTTTCAGTAGCAAGTCAACTGTACGCTATAAACCTCAGTATTACCTTGAAATATGTTGAAGACAGACATATATTTCAATTTAAGTGTCTTTCCCAAAAGGTTTAGCTACCCAAAGAGACTGAGACACCTAAATAATAATAAAAGACACAAGTCTGACAAGCACATTTTGTTTCAAAAGAAAAACAATTAACTGGCAACCAGGCGCTCCTTTTAGAGTCTCCAGTTGCCATTATAATTTCAATTCTTATTTTGACTTTTTAATGCTGTACCAGCTTTTTTTAAAGGGTTATTTTGATAAGACTATTCCATCTGGATGGCTACAGTTTAGCTGGCTACTAGCTATTAAAAAAAATATGCTGGGAAATTTAATTCTTTGCTAGTATCTATTTACTGACCAGGCTTTCACAATCTAGACTGGGTAGACCTAGATAACAAGATGAAAATGACATGGGAAACAGACCTCCCTCCAAAATGGAGGAATTCCTATTCTAACTTCAAATTGCACCCAGAGAGTTTTTTCCTTCCAAGTTAAAGACTAAAGATCTGGTCAATAAAAAGGCTTGAATTAGGATGCTACATAATAGACTGAAACTATTATCAGCAGTTATCTGGATTCTCCGGGAACTATGTGCACATTGAAGCAAGACTTTTGGTAATTTGTGTTTAAAATTCAAAATAGTCCAACAGATCTAAAACAATATGTATTTGTTACTACTTTCTAGGTTGACATATAACAAAAGCAATGCAATTGTGTTAGGCCTGACACTCTGTGTGAAGCCAAAGCTGTGCTGAGCGGCCCGCTGTTAGAGAAGGGTATACCATTGTGCTGTAGCATTGCTTCAGCCCTCCCATGCTGTGTCAGTCTATAGGCAAACACCATGACCACTGTCACAGCACAACACATGGAAATACTAGGGAGCTATTTTTGTAACAACAGGAGGGCAATTCCCTCTCAACTTGACCCCTGCTCCTGATGGCTATTGTGGTGATGCACACAGAATGAAATATTTAATAAAGAGGTAGTTTCAGAAAATGGACTAGCTAAGGGAAAGAGGGGGCAATGGTTAAAATAAACTCTTAGTTAAATTGAGTAGAATGATCTCATCAGTAGTATACCCCTTCTACACTGAATATGGAATATGAAGTAGGATAATTTATATTGTAAGTTTTAAACCTGCTACCAACTATTAAAAAACCCTCTGTTTTAATATTCAGAATTAATGACTGGAAGCAGATGAGTCCATAAAGGGACAGCCGGTTGCCATACACAATTGTAACTATGTTTCTACAAGTTATGAAAAGAAAGCAATATGTGCCTGTTTCGGTGGCTGTCGTTTGCCTACCAATGGTGCAGTGCTCCCCATTCCAGCCCTCCCGGCATTCACATTTTCCATCTTTGCAAGTTCCGTGTTCTGTGCAGCGGGGATGACAAACACGTTGGTCACAGGCTATCCCTGTCCAGCCCTCTTCACAACGACATGCTCCGCCAATGCATACACCATGAGTGCCACAGTCTACAGCACATACTTCTGGAAAAGAATAAGAGAAAGATAGAGATAGATATTACCCAGTATTGCTTATTACCCAATATTGTCATGAAAACCAATAGCATTTTGAACACAAAACTGATTATTATTTCTCTTAATTTAATTTGCTTATTGTCTTCTCAACAACTCTGGGTGGTTGTGTACTTTCGTTGCTACAAGTAAGCAACGCATGATAGAAATTTCTACAAATGAGATATGAGATCTGTTATCACATCGCATCCAAGCAGTTGGTATTTTGTTGACAACAAAAAAGAGTCTACAAATTAAAATTTATGACATATGTGTACTCCATTGCCTTTAGTATTTCCAAAGGTGAGCACAATTTTGAATAACTATTATGGTAGAGGTTATCGTGAACTGAAAGTTTCAGAACACACATCTTCAACGCTATCATAAAACAGGATTACAAAAAAAATACAAGAAGTGAAAATCAAAACATTGGAAGATAAATATTTTTTATATTGATTCGATTAACCATAGGTAAATTGTCAGTTACACAGCATTTCAGAATTCAGGCAGTGCTGCCAAGGATAAAGGATAGTTTGAAAACAGGATAAAGGATAGTTTGAACGTTAAATGCTCAAAATCACTGAAATAAAGCAGCAAACTCTTATTGTTCCTACATTGCAAGCTGTATGAGGATTTGGGGTATCTGAATTTACATTAGAATACCAACTTGTAATACAACAGTTGAATTTGGTTGATTATCTTGAGTAAATACCCAGAGACCATCCAGTCTATTGAATATCTCCTAGAGATTAGAATGGCCCCTACTCTAATACACTTCTGGAAGGTGCTGAAGACCTCGTTCTGCCCTGGGGAATCCAGAGTGGATGGAGTCCATTAAATGGTTCATGTGATCTGCTGTTGCTGGGGTGTAGGGTGATTTTATGATGATTTTATTATTATATTAATTTATTTGATCTTTTTAAAGTAGTTTTATGGTTTTAAATGTGGTTTTTATACTCTGTAAGCTGCCTTGAGTCACCATGGGCAAAATTAAGAAATTAAATAAATATAAAGAATAAATATTCTAAAATGAAATGTTCTTTTTTTTTTCTCTTACCAACAGAGCAGTCAGGACCCATCCAGTTGGGATCACAGTTACAGAGGCCTGTGTCAGAGAGATATGTGCCATGCCCACTGCACTGGTCTGGACATTGGGCACGTGGAAGTTCACAATTTAAACCTCCCCAGCCTGGGCTACAGAGACATTCTCCATTTACACAGACACCATGGTTGGAACAGGATGGATCCAAGCAATCAACTGAAACAAAGCAAAGCAAAACAAAACAAAGTCAGTGAAAAAGGTCAGGACACTGAACACACAGTCTGAATTGACATCAGTTGATAGATCTGTGCACAGCAGGTTCCTTGCTGTTGAAATGGACTGCAGCAAGCTTGCTCAGTTGTTTGTTAGGATTTTCTGGGAATCTGAAAACATAAAAAGGTCATCCCGCTTGCTATGAAGAAATTTCAAGAACCAGGTAGTGTTAAAAAAAAAAAGGGGGGGGGGGGGGGGGAGGAGGATAGGAAAAGGAATTATTAAAACAAAATAGTAAGACTGTTTTGTGACCAAAGAAGAAGAATATATATTCCAAATAGATACCAAACACTGGGATTCTTAAACAATTTATCAATAATCCTGTAAACGTGACAATGACACAAACATAAACAGAACAATGTATACTACTATGGCATTCTTTGGATTTTATGCAGGGGTGGGATTCTACTAGTTTGTACCTATTCGCTAGAACCGGTTGTTAACATTCTAAGCAGTTTGGAGAACCAGTTGTTAAAAGAAATTACTGGCCTAATCCTGTAAGGAAGGCAGGAAGGAAACATTCTGGTGTTGATTACAGAAACTGCCTCTCCGTTAACCCTTATTACATTCTTGGCAGGACTAGTCTTCCTGTCTTGGGAACTTCTCTGGAATTTTTCCCCCTCCTTTGCTGGTACTTTGATTGTATGGAGTGACCATTCAAAGTTACAATGGCACTGAAAAAAGTGACTTATGACCATTTTTCACACTTACGGCTGTTGCAGCATCTCCACAGTCACGAGAGGCTAGACAAGGAGATTCATGCCTCAATGTGAGTGATATTGAGTTGGCCACACCCAGCCAATAACATGACCACCAAGCCATGTCCACCCAGTCATATGACCACCAAGCCACACCCACCACCTAAGCCATGCCCACATAACCGGTTGTTAAAAAATTTGAATCCCACCCCTGATTTTACGTATTTAGGCTTTAGAACTTTGGTGAAAGGAGAAAAGAAAATTTGTTTTCTCATTGTCTTTCCCTAGTCAACCAAGTTCCAAAACTTGAGAATTAGTTCACTAAACATGAATCCTGCCTGTGTAAACTTTGTAAATAATTTCCTTCCAATGTACATTCAAGCTAAGTACTACTTAAAAAAAAAAAAAATCTTGGAGTGATTTATGACTCCCTTTAACTTGGTCTACAAAGGCCAAAGAGGAACACAAAATGTGTTTACTAACACAATTCAACATGTCAATTACATTTGAAATGCATATACTAAGAACAGTTCTCTCGCCAGGATCACTACTGCCTGCTCTTTATCCCTGAAGCTAATTGACAAATAATTGAGTTGCTTATACTACTTTTTTTCTTCTCATGCTTTCTACTGTACAGTATCCTTTGCTTCCATCTGTCAAGCATTCATTCAAAATAACTGGCATAAAACTGGACCACACTTCATCTCTTTTATTTAGCTTTTTTCAATACTAGGAGACGCTTGCTGCAACTAGAAAATAATGTTGGCATCAGAAAACAGCTATGAAAGTAGTTAGATTTTTGAATAAGAATTAAAGACTAATACAGGAAGTTTGTGAGTGAAGGTAAACAGATAAGCTTTCCACCATAACTCCCACACACCCCGATACTGAATGGTACTTATTTAATAGTCCATTTAATAATGTTGCATGAGCACTTTTTTGTTCACATAGCAGCTTTAGCCTCATTAGTTCCATCAATGCAGTGACTCCCTATCATGTTGGATTTTGACTTTCATAATTCTCAGCCTGAACGTCCAATTGGAAATTATAGGATTTAATTCGCTGCATCTTGAGAACCTAGCTTAATAAATAAGTCTGCAAAATGCCTTGTAAATTGAAAGACAAGCAGACAAATTTTCAGGTACAGGTAGTGCTCAATGTACGACCACAATTGAGCCCAAGGATTTGGAGGCTTGTTAAGTGAGTTTTGCCCCATTTTACAGACTTTCTTGCCACAGATGCTAAGTGAATCATTGCAGTTGTTAAGTTGTAATGTGAATCCGGTGTCCCCACTGCTTGCCAGAAGGTCGCAAAAGGGGTGGTCAACATGATCCTGTAACCATCATAAATATGAGACAGCTACCAACTGTTGGAATGTTGATCACACATGACCATGGGGATGTTGCAACGGTCATGAAAAATGATCATATGACACGTTTTTTCCAGTGACGCAGTCACTAAATGAACTGTTGTTGTAAGTTGAGGACTACCTGTATTTAAAATGATCAAGCAAGGCTTTGAGGCCCTGCCTATTCTATCCTTGAATGTATGAGAGACTTTGATAGCATTCGGCTGAATAAAGCACAAAAATCCCTTAAGAAGTTCTTATTAAATGCACCATGGTCTGAAGGTCTTCCTATAGTGATACCGCTGAAGTGCAACCACGATTCCCTCTTCACAGGATCTGTTCTGAATGCTTTGAACTGGATGTATTGGCACATTAAATCACAAAGCACTCAGAATAAAACAATGCTTTAATGGTTCCATGAAGCAGATGATGAAAAGAAATCTGTAGGCACATTTGGGGTTTAAAATGCCTTCCTAGCATCTTGAATGACAAAGGAATATAGTTTGCTGTCTTTTGCAGAGCTTCATTTATAAATGCTTTAAACAGATTAAATATTCCTTAAAAACTAGGATATTTACCACACTGGACTATTCTCTGTATTCTGAGTTAAAAACTAGCTTTTGGTGGTTTGGAACATTGATTTCTAGCATCAAATAACTGGATGAAAAATAGATGAAGTTTCACTGAACAAACTATTCACTTCTCTGACTAATCATAACAAACAGAAAAAGAAGCAGACATCTATATTATGCCATCTAGAACAAGTACAGGTAGTCCTTAAGTTACGACCACAATTGATCTGAACATTTATGTCACAATGTGAAACATTTAAGTGAGTTTGACCATAGGGATACTGCAATGGCCGTTAAGTGTGAAAAATGGTTATAAGTCACTTTTTCCAAAGCCATTGTAACTTTGAACAACCACTAAATGAACTGTTGTAAGTGGAAGGCTACCTATATTTCAATTAGAACCAACAAAGATTCATTTTCATTGACTGTTTATAGTTTTTTCATTAATGGCTCTGTTGGTTAAGAATAAACTATCACATTCCAATCCAGAAATGGAAGCATAAGTCTTCCAGATGTTAACTTTTCAACACTGGTTGGCTCATTCCCATTCTGCTCTTAAATGGGAAGAAATGAATCTTGTCACAATGTCCTCTTGTTTCCTTCATGCCATTTTCGAGGCCATGGGTCTCCAAACTTGGCAACTCTAAGACTTGTGGATTTCAAATTCAATATGCTAGCTGAAGAATTCTGGGAGTTGAAGTCCACAAGTCTTAAAGTTGCCAAGTTTGGAGATCTGTAATCTAGACAAAATTAAATGCAAGGAAAAAGCTAGGAGAAAAGACATTGAGGCTTTAGCCAGAAGATCAAAGTAATTGTACTCAAATTATTTGTTTTTTTAGAACATCATAGAATTTCTATCTTAATAATGTCTCATTTTGTTGCTTTTTAAGCTATGGACATTATTTGACAGTCCTTTCTCTTTATTCCCAAGAAGGAATCACTTTTTTGCATACTTTCTCCTTACTAACAAATTATTTTTGCTGCATGCTTGTTAAAATTATTTTTGTCCTGATTCTATTCTTTGTATTTCTTTATTATTCCCCCTTTGAATGCCACCTTCATTATGTAATCAAAAATTACATTAGAAATTAGGAAAACATAATTTGATATCCCAGATATACTTCACAGATAAAGTAGTCTACTGCTATCTCTAAGGAGAGTCAAATGGCCATTTCAGAATCTACTATAAAAGTGGAACAGTACAACTGTACTTGCAAGAGATCTTTCTACTGTAAAATTAAAGCAGAAGATAAACCCACCATTTTTGCACACTTTTCAGTAAGTTTATATATTTCTTCTTGAATATTAGCATGAATAAATCTACAATTACCTCTCATCAAAATATCTGGAATAATTAATTTACACTCCCATTTACAGGATGGAGTATGCCTTTGGTAATAAAATGGAAATAACTAGTTATAATTCAGTCCAAATTAGCACAGATAATCTCCTGTTTTGACTACTGCTAACACTCTTACATGAGGCAGCCTTTGAAGATCACCTGGAAGCTTAGTATGCCCATGCAATATTTCTGCTTTACAAGCTGCATTGGTGGTCCATTTTCTTTTGAGTGTGAATCAATGTGCCAATTATGTCTAATATGGTATAGGGTCAATTATTTGAGGTACAGTTTAGCTCCCGTAGCATTTGGCCAGCCGCTTTGATCCAACAAGTTTGGCATATTCTACATTCCTTTGATTCTTTTGGAGCCCTAGAAGATTATCTGTTGTAATGCCTGCTATCTGGTCTGCAGTTTTCCTTGAGAACCATGTAGTTCTCACATTTTTGCGTTTCAAAAGGCCTTGAAGACATGTTCTTCTGCCAGGTCTTTGACTAGAATGACTGTAGCCGCATATAAGGAGTGAATATGTGTTTTGTGACTACTGGGATTGTCATCTTGGCTTTTTGGATTATCTTCTTTTATTGGTGCATTTATTTTGTTGCTTTATAATTTTTCTGCTTTCTTACGAATTTCCCATAGTTCCTGTAATCAGATGGTAAAGAAATAAAAGTAAATAAATAATCAGAGGATTCCCAATTATATCATTATAAAGAATGAATTAAAACTTGTCTGAACTCTTCCAGGTACAGCTGGAGAGGTGTGTTTTGTGTGTGTGTGTGTTTGTGTGTGTGTGGAGTTCAGAAAGACTATGACTCTAATCACTTCTTTAAATTATGTAATATACAACCAATCAATGTCAATATCAATATTTATATATTATTGTCTACATTATTTGAAAGAATATACTAAAGGAATATTCTAAAGGAAATTCTAAAGGAAACATTTCTTAAGAGGACTCTAAATACTGATTACTATATATGCCA